CTTTGTCATTTGTTCGGTTTTTAACAAACCGTGTGAAACGTTTCAAAATCTTTGGAAATGTCTTTACGTCAGAAAAGACTTCACAACGCAGAGTGTAAATTGTTAATAAAATCAGAATGCAACTGTATAATAAAGTCGTTAGAAGGAAGTATGACATCGCCGCCATGTTTTCAGAAACACTCGGTAACTGTTCTCCAATTATTGAAACGTAAACCGCCATTGATAAGAATATAGTGATTGTGTAGGATATCCTCTCCCCTGAGGAAGCCGGAAGGAGGAAAACAAAAGGGTTCAGAAAACACAATAGTAGAATTGGGAGGACGAGAGACAAGGAAAAAAACATTGGCTCCCGCTTCAAGTAAACTGTGAATACTGTCGCTATTGGCATGCTACTGGGAGTGGATACATACGTCCCCGTTAAATCCCATTCACCATGACGTGTAAAGTACTCTAAATTAATGTCTGTTTTGGTGAAGGCAAGTTTGATTTCATCAGAGTTAACGCCCCACTGCACTAGAACAAGGTCACATGTATGTTCATCTGAAGGGAACCCCGACATATCAACAGAACATGTCGATTTCATTTGTTTACCCGGACTAACGAGACAGTGGCCTGTATAGTTTACTCTCAAATAGAAGTCATTCAAATCAAACGGTTCCATATCCTCAGCAGTTGTTAGCAAGAAAACCTTCGGGCTCCAAACATTAGTTGTGTTGATGAGAATGTCTTCAATTCCTCCGTAATCATTTGGGTTCCAAGTTAAACGAAAATCATTCCAGACGTAACCCACTCCGCCATTTAATGTGATCACACCGGAGACTTCGTCAAAGTCGAGAATGGACAGTATAAACATATCTATGTATATGGTCAATGGGTGGCTGAAGTCGTATACCGGGTAGATCTCTTTAGTGTAATTTGAGAACAGTGTACTAGTCAACCTAACCCACTGGTCCATCGTCCCGTTACGTCCTTGCACCGACTGGACTGTACTGTACAACAGAATCAGTCCCAAAATAATTCGTACCGATGACATGGCAACGATCTTGTGTAGGCAATCTGGGATAAATAGATAAATAAATAATAGATAGATATATAAATAAATAATTAAATAGATAAACGAATGAATAGATAAAATAAATAATTAGATAAATGAATGAATGAATGAACGAATGAATGAATGGATAAATAAATAAATGAATTAATGAATAAATAAATAAATAAATGAATGAATGAATGAATGAATGAATGAATGAATGAATAAATAAATAAATAAATGAATGAATGAATGAATGAATGAATGAATGAATGAATGAATGAATGAATGAATAAATAAATAAATGAATTAATGAATAAATAAATAAATAAATAAATAAATAAATGAATAAATGAATGAATGAATGAATGAATGAATGAATGAATGAATGAGTGAGTGAGTAAGAGAGTAAGTGAATGAATGAATGAATGAATGAATGAATGAATGAATGAATGAATGAATGAATGAATGGATAAATAAATTAATAAATTAATGAATTAATTAATAAATTAATATATATAAATAAATAAATAAATATATAAATAAATAAATAAATAAATAAATGAATGAATGAATGAATGAATGAATGAATGAATGAATGAAAGAAATTGAGCTTGGTTCATATTACGATATTTGTACGGAATAAAATAAAATGCATTTTCGATACAGACGATAAAATACTTTGAAGTATATATAACGAAGTGGAATAGTGAAAACAAATGAAGATAATAAATTTTGTTGATAAAGAATTTGTGTAAATAACCGTTTCATAAATGCAAACTGACGTAAAAAATAACCTACCTGTTGATTTCGCAACCTACCTGAATTAGCGCTAGGTTATAAAGTATTCTGTACTGCTGGTTTAATTTGTATTGGTTGTATACGGAGAGGATATATATGCACCGTGATAATCTGCTTTAAGTACAAGACCATCGAACTGGTGATTACACTGTAATCCTTGATCAGGATATTAAAGGAATGTTCCGAATGTCAAATCATATATATATATATATAAGGGCATTTTAGCTTAGGTGTGTGGCGTACTTTATCAAAGAGATCACTTAAGTCGAAACCAGCCTGTTTCTTTGCTATCCTAAACATCAGAGCACTTATTCATGAAACCATTCTCATACTCAAACATAGATGTTTTACTCAAGCAAACATTTTTAAAATTCAACTAAATTATATAAAATAATACAAATGTCAAATTTAAACCTTGAATATAGATTTGACCTGAAGTTCTTTAAAGATTGTTTTTAAATCTTAGGCAAAATCAGCCTGACTTTTTCATTCCTGACTTAAACAAGACATAAGGCTTGAGCACAAAACTCATCCTTGATCATGAGAACAGTTTCATGTATAAGGGCCCTGAATTCGAATCAAGATATGTGAGGCGTTTTGATATTTAAATTTCTAAAGTTTACGTGTGATGTTGGTGTAATATCTATTTAGTCACTCCAGTGGGATTTTGTTCCTTATTTAGAATAAATTGTTGGGATCATACCTATAAGCTTATCTTAAGGAGATGGAAGTGGCTGAATTTATCCACGGTTATACTGTGACGTCATTATTTCATGACATTGAGACGTCAGCCAATAAATAGTTAAAAATTAAGAATGTCGGCATTTCAGATATTTATCAGTCTTACGAAGCAAGCAAAGCATAAGTTAATAGCGTGATGAACAGAATCTTATATCTGTTTCTGGCCAAATTTAATTTCATTTTGTTGCAATAAAACAACTTTAAACAAAATTGACCAGCCAAAAAAAGAAACTTCCATTTTTTTTTTAATTTTTTAGCCTCTGTATTTCTTCATCCGAAGGGTTCTACGTTTAAAAACTAGCACATTCACACCACAATCTAAAATTCAGGACTAAAGCGATTTAAGTTAAAAATGTCAACCAGGACGCTGGGATATCTTGTAGCCGCCATTTTGTATTTGTACTCGCACTCACCGGCCGGACATCCTTCTACGATTCTAGCTGTTGGAGGACTTTATACACCAAGTCGGATGGTTCCATTTTAAAATGATTATGAAAACGCCTTCAATATACACAGATACTGAGATTGATTGATAAGGCAAGCTCAATCATTAGCTGTCTGCTAAAATATTTGATTAATTTTTTGATAGAAATCGTCGCATATTGTACGAGAAATCGAGAAGAAACAACACACATAGTTGATATGTATTCATCTTTATTTACATACGTCAGTGTATTTACTGAACAAAGCGCGCACACGCCCACTTGCTGAATGACCAAAATAATCGATAGCTTCACTGAAAGATAAACTAACGATTTTTAGGTCCTCGGATCGAACGATCGGGTACATATTGTTATTGTGTTGTTTGTCTGTCTGTTCGTCTGTTGTCAGCTTTCACCTTGCCCATAACTATTGCACCGTGCGGTGTAGGGCTTTCAAACCTGGCACGTGTGTTCCTTGTGCCAAGACTGTGTGACCTTGACCGTGACCTTTAAACTACATTTGTAAGTAAATAGAAAATGATTACCACAATGAAGACATCAGTGTTTCACAAAGTGTGCATGCAATTAGCACGTGCCGTACACAGTAGTTTTAATGTCCCACTTCAGGATCTTATTGCAACCGGTGTTTCATGAATTCATCTTGTTTCAAGACATTTTACCCACGCGATAGAGATTAATGATAACAAGCTTGTCACATAGTAGACATATGTATGTACAATGTATTTGATTAATAAGTGATCAGTATTATTCCCTTCTCGGCTGTCAAGTTTATCGCTAAAGTGTGGGCAGATAACAGAAGATTTATTTTCCTGTTTTTTTCCTTTCTTCTTTTTTTTCGAAAGAATATATCATCAAAGTACAATTCAAAAAACAAGACGAGAAAACCTTAAGCTCAGACATTTTTTTTTCAAATATTGTTCGCAACAAAATAAAAAGATTTTTATCGGTAAACAATATTGTACAGTTCTAAGATATCGGGAAATGACACGAGAAGTGTATGATTTTCAGCACTTGTATGTCAACTGGATGTCATACACTTAAAACACAATGAAATTGTGTGATCTTCAGCACTTGTATGTCAACTGGATGTCATACACTTAAAACACAATGAAATTGTGTGATTTTCAGCACTTTTGTGTCAACTGGATGTCATACACTTAAAACACAATGAAATTGTGTGATCTTCAGCACTTGTATGTCAACTGGATGTCATACACTTAAAACACAATGAAATTGTGTGATTTTCAGCACTTGTGTGTCAACTGGATGTCATACACTTAAAACACAATGAAATTGTGTGATCTTCAGCACTTGTATGTCAACTGGATGTCATACACTTAAAACACAATGAAATTGTGTGATTTTCAGCACTTGTGTGTCAACTGGATGTCATACACTTAAAACACAATGAAATTGTGTGATCTTCAGCACTTGTATGTCAACTGGATGTCATACACTTAAAACACAATGAAATTGTGTGATTTTCAGCACTTGTGTGTCAACTGGATGTCATACACTTAAAACACAATGAAAGTGTCTGATCTTCAGCACTTGTATGTCAACTGGATGTCATACACTTAAAACACAATGAAATTGTCTGGTCTTCAGCACTTGTATGTCAACTGGATGTCATACACTTAAAACACAATGAAATTGTATGATTTTCAGCACTTGTATGTCAACTGGATGTCATACACTTAAAACACAATGAAATTGTGTGATCTTCAGCACTTGTATGTCAGCTGGATGTCATACACTTAAAACACAATGAAATTGTGTGATCTTCAGCACTTGTATGTCAACTGGATGTCATACATTTAAAACACTTCGAGAAATCAACATCTTGCTCAAATACAAAACATCATAACTTATTATTGTTCGTTCTTACTTCAGTAACGCATGTGACAAATTGACATTTTCAGTGAAAACTTCAATCAAATTCTATCCATTTTTCTGTGCTTTTTCTTTAAAATGTATTTGCTCTATCTGAACAAAGCGGAAAAAAAGCAAACGGTGATAACGAGCATAGCTGATAATGACGTCACAAACAACAGCATATCAGTCACTCGCATTACGTCATCTTTCAGCAAATTATCGCTGACGTCATATGTCTTTTCGCTTTCTTCTTTTTCACTGTCGTCCTGGGATATTGCTTGAGTTACCCGTCGTGTCCTTCTTATTTTTTTAAAACAGAGAGCAAGATACCTCAGACATCGTGGGAATTTGCTGACATCAGACAGCAACTCACCCCTTAATGTGAATATTGTGAGAATAACTAGCAACCCACTGTATGTAAGAGTGATCAGCAGAAAAAACGACAGAAAAGCCATGTTTTCTGACACCTTAGGAAGGTTGTCTCCTATCAGTGTCATGTAGACAGCCAGGGACAGAAACATAGTGACGGTGTAGGAAATTCGCTCTCCAGAAGAGGCCGGCAAGAGAAACACAAACGGGTTAAGAAAGCATAACAGGAGAACTGGGATGATAAGAGATAGAATCCAATACATTGGTCTTCTCGTGATGTATATCGTAAAACTCAAGCCGCCTTGCATTGTTTGGGATTCAGTCACATAGCTTTTTGTTAAGTCCCATTCACCGTTGTGTGTATAGTAGGATAGAAATACTCGTGAACTCTGATATTTAAGTAAAGTTTCGTCCTCGAATGCGCCCCACTGAAGAAGAATAAGCTCACAGATATGGGAGTCTATGGGAAACTGTGACATATCCACGGAACATGTCGCCATCATTCGTCTTCCCGGAGCAACAGAACATCTTCCATCGTGATACACCCTTATCTCGAAATCTTTCAAATAAAATGGTTCCATATCATCAGCAGTGGTCATGAGGAAGATCTTCGGAGTCCAAACAAAAGAGGAGTTAAGAAGAATGTTTTCTAATCCGCCATACTCACTCGGATTCCAAGCCAGACGAAAATCGATCCAATTTAAATTCACTCCGCCATTTAAACTGATAACCCCGGATACTTCGTTAAAGTCTAGAATGGACAGAAGGAACATCCCCATAGATATAGTCAGTGTTTCGCTAAGGTTGTAGACGGGGTATATCTCCTTCGTGTAATTAGACGTCAGTGTGTTAAGTAACCTAGCCCAGTCGTCCATCGTTCCTTTACGTCCTAGCACCGACTGCCCTGCACTCAACAGCATCAGTAAGGAGATCAATTGTGCGGTTGTCATACTTTGTTCCGCTGAATGAGTCCTGTATCACGAGGAAATATGTGTCACACGGATATTGTCAAAATCTTGTTGGATTCGGTAATAACGCTTTATTGATGATTAATTGAAATTATGTAAAGTTCAGTATTAATTACTTAAGAAATTATCACTTCAGTACATATCAAACTTGTACTGTACGTTGTGTTTCGGCTCCTACTTATTCTCACCTGCTTGCACCAAAGTTTCTAAGGCTATGTACATACGATGTTTTTTTTTAATTGGACACGTCCCAGTAGGGCCTAAAATCGACTTTTCTTTACTCTTGTTCAATATATCTGCTTCAGGTTGTCAAACAGAGCTGTCAAATAATAAGGATTGGTTTCTAAAAGAATGCTTATACTAATTGTGTGTGAGGTTTCACTAACGATGACGCCTTAAAGAGAAAATGGTTAATTTATATGAAACACAATCAATAATTAATCTAAGCCGATGTAGAACATTTGATTAAAGCCTCCACACTTTTGCTAAAGCCTTCATCTTGTAAAACAGGTTAAAGTGTTTAGAAGAGCAGATTTGGGTGTAGAAAACTTCGAAGAAATAGGTTTTCACGTAACGGGATGGATCCGGTTGAAAAAATATTTTACATAAATAAAAAAGTGATTAGCTGCTGCCGTCATACTCAACTGTAACCGTGGAAATTTTCGCGAGGGTTAGCTTCGCGATTTCTATTGGTAAACTATACGCGTGGGGTTATTTTCGCGACCAGTTTTCATTTTATTTCGTCTACAAAATCTAAGCACATCACAAAACATTACCTGAGTAATTAGCGTTAATTTCTCTCTCGTTTAAATGTCCACGTTTACGGTATACCCAAGACACGCCATATCATAACACATTTCAATAACACTGTAATCAGTACAGCCAATAGGTAATTCATTAAACTGCATCATACAGCTGTTTCGTCATCCCAGGGTTCATCAGTGATGCGAGGGATTTAAAAACAGTGCTGAAATCTAGGAGTAAAATTGTAATTGATCGACATAAATGTAAAAATATCGACAATTTTTCCGATTATAAAGAAACGTGCATGCATAGAACTACTACCAGCAGATTACGCTATTTTATAGGCGTTATGTAGCTTTGTTTCGTTTGTCTTCCTCAATCTCAATGATTTGCACACAATAGTGTCGATCCGTAAACTGTACTATACAGATATTTTGTCCTTCTAAGACTCATCAGTGATGCTAAGGGTCTAAATGTTGAACCTAGGAAGCGAGTGAAAAAAAAAACAATCTGATCGAAATGTAAGTCGGAACTTGAAGTTTAACCATGATTCAATAAATTTCGTGATCTGCAACATCTGATAATTTTACAGCAACGTCAAGTAATTTTTTAATATATAATCTGAACCGTGTCACTATTCCAAAGACTTCAAATGTAACAATCATTCTCTTGCAGTATCTAGTCCCGGCAGTCGCCAACATGTTCTGAATTCTGAAACAGCTGTAAGATGCAGTTTGAGCATCATCACTCTCTTCTAAAAAAACTTTTCTTCTGTTCCCTTAATCAGGATTTTCGTGCAAGAAGTCGTCAACTGACTGACAAACTCGTAACACAAGGGTTCAAAAGATGCAGATTGATGAAAATTACGGTGAAGTTTTGTGGTCGCCATAGTGATATCATTGAGAAATATTCTATTTCTTTGTGTGATGCTGGGCGTATTTGATATTTTAGTTTGCCCGATTTACCTACCTGGAATGACCAAGGTTTACATGGCGGATGTCCTCGACGAAGCAGAAGACGCTTACCCTCCGGAACACCTTGTGTTATTCTCCTTGTAATTTCTCGGAAGTCTACGTGTAAATCTTTTTTTTCAAATTTTTATCCTAGTTTTATGGAATCTGAGTTTGAATTATGATTATGTTGCCATGTTGGTATTTTCTTGGTGTTTTTTTTTATCCTTAACGATCACTTTCGCTCTCTGCACTCCTGGAACATGTCGGGGCAATATTGAAGGCACAAGCGAAGTAATTTGATTGGTTCCTGGAAAGAAAAACTGACCAATCACAGGTTTATACCGCTTCTTTTGAAGATTACAAAGGAGCGACACCCAGTTTCAAAGCCATTACAATATACCCTTATGTGACCCCGCGATTCGTACATCAAAGGATCAAATTAGTCTTCGTCTTGTCGACAAGGTGTCTTACATGGAATCTTCAATTTTGCCATGACATGTTCCATGGTGCAGAGAGCGAAACTGGTTGTAACCCCTGGAGTATCGAGGATGTGCATACTGGGAAATGTCTGTCTCCGTTGAACTTTAGACTTTGATCAAGGAGAGCTAATTTAAGATTAAGACGAAACTCTGTTACACTTACTCAGAGAGTGAAATAATCATAAGGCGAATTAATGATAATGATACGACGAAAATAAAATATTGCGGTATACAGTATCTTATTAAACGGTGCTATTTACTCGTTTGTCTTTTGGACAACTTTGAATTAGATATATGATATCAACTGATTTTTGGGCCTCTGTTTTACATCGCCAGTATATATTTATACATTAAAACTAAGCAGTACGGTCAGGTTTATGTTTAATTAACAGATCAATTATTGAGAAACACAAAGCTGTGCTCAGATTTGAAAAAAAAAATCTTATTTTTGATGAAGAAGTTGGCGCTTTATGAAACCGACTGTATCGTCAATTAAACATTAAAACGATGTTATTAGCGAGTTTTAAACTTCACCTTAAACATACAATGCATCAAACACTCTTATAAAAGTATACAGAACAATAAGAATACATGATCAAATTGAAATGGAAAATGTGATCTTATAAATTATATGATGAAAACTAATTCGATAAAAAAGAAAAGAAAAAAGAGACATTCTTCGGTAAATAAATAAACCAATTTGTCGATTTACTACAGTACATCTATTTATTCATAATAATCAGATACTTACATACATATTTACAAATACTGCACAGCGCAAATATTACAAAGCGCAAATACTGCACAGCGCAAATACTACATAGTACAAATATTACACAGCGCAAATACTGCACAGCACAAATATAACAAAGCGCAAATATTACACAATGCAAATACTGCACAGCACAAAATTACACAGCGAAAATACTGCACATCACAAATAATACACAGCACAAATATTACAAAATGCAAATAGTACACAGTGCCAATACTACTCAGCGCAAATACTGCACATTACAAATAATACACAGCACAAATATTACACAGCACAAATACTTCTCCATATACACTGCACCAATACAAGGTCAACACTGTACAGTAGACGTCAGCGTTTAAACAACAACATAGTAACCACTGGAATGGCATTTCAACTCTGACATTAACTATATTATATGTTATCATTAAACTGTCATTTTTGACCTTCTCATTTGTCAAAGCACTACAACACAAGTCTGTAGTATATTGGATTATCACACCAACACAGGAGGAATCCGTGCACGCGAGGTGAACATCACTCCAAAATTAGAACAATTCCAGAAACTCGTGCTACAATATGTTTGACTATTCGGAAGCGTAGAATTTCATCATAAATTATAGACCTGTCGGGTAGATGTGAGGATTTATGATCGAATTGGAGGTGATATTTATCGAGGCCAGAAAAAAAAAAAAATCCGTGATAGATATGATATCTTATCAAAATTGTGAATTTTTTAGATTTTCTCAATAGTTTTAGGATTAGCTTGTAACCTGTTTAAATACGTTACACAAATACAAAGCAAAGAAACCATGTAACAAATATCACCATCATCAATGATGACGTCACAAACAATGATATGTCGATCAGTTTTATGACGTCATCTCTCTTTAAATCGTGTTCAGTGTCATCCGAATTTACATTTGCATCCTTTTCACACTCGTCCTTATTTACCGGTTTCTTTTCATAAATACACAGTGCGAGGCGTTTCAGAAAGTTCGGGAACTTGCTGACGTCAGAAATGACGTCATAACGTAGAGTGAAGATAGTCATGACAATTATTACTCCACTGATGATGAGTATGATCAGCAGGAAAAATGACATCATCGCCATGTTATTGGAAACGTTTGGCAAACTGGAGGCTATTATTGATATGTACACGGCTAATGATAGGAATAGTGTTAACGTGTATGAGATTCTTTCGCCAGAGGAAGCCGGAAGGAGAAAAACAAACGGGTTCAGGAAGCACACCAACAAAATTGGAAGAATTAAAGATACAGACAGATATTCCGGCTTTCTCGTGACATTGATTGTAAAAATAACACCACCAGGTGATAAGGTAGGATTTGATACCGACGTTTTCACTATATCCCATTCTCCATTTTGTATGTAGTAAGTTAAAATTAATTCTGTAGATGTAAAACCAAGCACAACTTCATCTGGCAACACGCTCCACTGCATTATTTCAAGGTCACAAACATGCGAGTCTGAAGGAAACTTTGTCATATCGACAGAACACGTGGCGAGCATCCGTCTGCCCGGATTAATTTGACATGTGCCATTATAAAACACTCTAACGTCGAACTTTCCCGAGTCGAATGGTTTCAGGTCTTCCGCCGATGATACCAGAATCACATGCGGTTTCCAAACTACTGATGAATTAAGAAATATGTCTTCGATTCCGCCATAGTCACTAGGATTCCAAGTCAAACGAAAATCCGCCCACGATTGGAGTAATCCGCCATTAAGTGTGATCACTCCGGCCACTTCGTCAAAGTCCTGAATGGACAACAAAAACATGGACAGGTCTACTGTAAGCGTTTCATTCAGGTAGTACACGGGGTAGATATCCTTTGTGTAGTTAGAGAACAGTGCGTTAGTCAGCCTGATCCAATGGTCCATCGTTCCGGTACGTCCCAGTACCGACTGACCTGCACCGCAACACAGAATTAGCGCGAGAATCACTCGTGGGGCCGTCATAACGATATATGGTAAATTGTGTCCTGCAGAACAGAATACATTTGATCATTTAGCACCGAAAAATACTATACATTCACTATGACGTTTGATTTTCTGTGAACAACGTTTGAGGAAAATCATAAAGATTAAATACCATAAAGAACACACATTAAGATAATCCCAAGACGTATGTTTGATCTACTTTGGTTTTTAGTCTGCATTACTGAAGGAAAATGTTACGAGATATACAATATCGTCGCAACGAGCATTAGAATTGTTACTTTAAAAATATTATTTCTCATCTTTTTGAAAAAAATATTCACAAAACTCACCTGTCTTCGTTTGTGTCTCTTCAACACTGTATGATTATGGAATTCTGACCCGTTAAACGACCTCTTCGAACTAAACATTATGTAGTTATCGTTTCGTTAATCTACTTCCGAACACATAAAAGTTAATAGGATACACCTATTAAGACCGCTCCACTTAGTGAAAGCGGATTCAAACCGATTGAAGAAGTCGGTACTGTGTAGGTAATTAATCAAGTTGTGCGAATTGTATAAGAGAACATCAACAAAATCAAATTTAATTTCAATAAATTCCATAAAACTAGGACAAAATTTAAACAAAGGAAAGACTTACGTGGCGACTCCTGAAAAAGTACAAGGAGAATAAGACCAGGTGTTCCGTAAGAGTAAGCGTCTTCTGATTCATCAACGACACCCGCCATGTAATGTTACGATCTCAAATGAGAACAAGGCACAAAAGAACATAAAAAAGAAATAACGTACAGCAAACACTTGTACAGAAAAACGAAACAAGGTAGACAAAAGTATTATTAAAGAAACCGCTTGTATCACCTTGATTTATTGGGGGGGGGATTTAGGGTTTTTTTATTATCATTGTTTTGTTTGTTTGTTTTTATGTTTAGTTTTGTTTTTGTTTTTGTTTACAAAGTTAATAGCCTATGGAGCAACAATAGTTATTTAGATTGGCGGTCTTAACAATAAGACTGGTGTTCGGAAATCTGGTTACGTTCCGGATTCTATCACCTCAATCAGGATTTTCTATTTTTTAAGATGGCGAATAAAGAAGACAAATTACAAAATAATTGATTTTCTTCTATCCTCACAACGCCACGCAGATGATATACAAGTGCCCTAACTGGAAGTCAGCTTAACGAGCATGACGTAGGAGCCCCATCTCCATGCTATTAAGAACAGTTAAAGCGGCTACTACCTTAACATCGGGAAATGGAGAATTCGGCTTATGAATAATAGAATATATCCATAATAAAGCGATACACGCGCCTATAACGTCAAATTTGTTGTATTAGTACATATTTTGTTTATCTTGACTATTGTTTATAAACATGTTCACG